TGGTGATGATGATGATGGTGGTGACGATGGTGACGGTGGTGACGGTGGTGGCGGTGGTGGCGGCATTGATGTTAGAAAGGAGGGTTACTTTGTAGTACAGGAGCTTAAAGGAACTGAAAATCAAGCAGGAATGTAATTATAAATGATTCTATGGCTAGAGTGGCATAATATGCAAAAATTAACTTTTTAAATTAAATGAGTTTAGAGTAATAATGACTTTTTAAAACTGCTATAAGCTTAAAACTGAAGGCCTTTTATGAATAAAGCCTTACCTAAATTCGGCTAGCCCTCGAATTTCTTGATAAAGAATGTGCCAAAATCATGACAGACAGACTAGGGTAATTATGGAAACTGCAAAGCAAGTCTCCTACATTCTCTTTGGTCTTTGCCACTAACTCTTTGTGTTTCTTAATATGTCAGTCATTTCTTCAACTGAAAAAAACACACAAATTAAAAACCCTTATTTCCAATGTTAAAAGGGCAAAGTTATACTTACCACCCACAATTTAGGAGGACTGTAAAGGGGTTGATTGGTTGATATCTTAACCTTCTAACATTCTTTTATCAGTATTTAATCATTGTTGGGGTTTTCTGGCACACAGAGGACTTAATGGGCAGAACATAGTGGGTGGTGCTGATGATATGTGGGAAGGAAGAGAGAGGGAGGAAAATGATGCACTTTCCATGGCAGTGAAAGGAACAGAATAGACTGAGCTGGCCATATAAATAAAAAGCTGTGACATATCACTGCACACAAACTGTATACCTTGTGTGATTTGTGAGTAGCAATGCTCTCTGCATCAAACCTGTATCACAGAGTGAATTCCTAAGGCAGCAAGAGCAAAAACCTGCACCTCTGCTCTGTGGATTCTTTGAGCCTCTCACTCAGGGGAACGGGTTTCATTTTACAAAAGAGTCTTAGTTGTAATGCATTGGGCCCTTATCAACAAACATGATATATGCATAGGTTCAGGAGCAGAGGGAAGTGAAACTAAGAGAACTAAATGTAGATGCTAATGAGAAATATAGGAAAGTTTTCCATTTAAGATATAAAGGATTCTAAAGAAAGGAGTCACCTGTACAGTCCCTTCCCATGAACCTTACTCAGTTCAGAGAGAAGAACCCTACAACCAAAGCAATCTCAGGCTCCATCTATCCAGGTTTCTGGAATTCAGAAACAAGTATAATCTCTCTCAACTGTTAACCAATTTCTTACAGTAATAAAATGGTCTCGCTGCTTCTGCAGCTACACTCTAATCCCTTAGGGAGTCTTCACAGGATGAGGGCCAAGTTTTCAGCAGAAAAGGGCCTGAATTGAAAAAAACACCACCAACAAAAAGCCAGCCCTTCTCCATCAGCAATTCTCAAGCTCTCATAGGGAGCCCCCTGCTGCTTTGTCACAGAAATTGTGTACCATCTACACAGTATGGGGTATGAACAAAAACTTCCAACATCTCCAGTTTTTAAAGAAATGGCACCAAATCAATCATGTAAGAGGTAAGTTTAGAGGCAGCTTTTCCCTTTTGGTACAATAAGAATCTGTGGGGCTAAAGGGAAGAAAGGATAAATTCTCTATTGCCAGGTAAATACTTAGCCATGTCCATAATGATTTTGTTACCCTATCAGGGGCTATCTGATCAATTTAAGAATATGACCAGCATGGCATACTGTACACTATTGTGATACACTAGAAAGCTAGATGCACGGTCTGCACAAAAATAAACAATCAAGGAAGAGATTGTATATGAGTCAAATATTCCATTTATATAGCTAAAAATAAAATAAAATAAAATCTACCACATTCCACTGCATACCCATCAAGCAAAAATAGTTCAATTGCTCAATATCTGATAAGGCAATCAACTGCGTTTTCAAATACATGGGATATAAATTCACTTCTCATAAGACATTTGCTGTTTAGGCTACTCAAAGCACTTATGATGAATCTTCATTCACAATGTTTTAATAAATATTGGAATCATTTTCCTTCCAATAGAACAGCTCCATTTTACAGGTGTGATAACTGAGAAACCAAAGGGGACGCTTTCCAAGGATACTGTTCAATAGGCTGTCATAAACCAGAATCTAAACCGGGCAATTTCTCATCTCAGTTTCCGAGGCTAGCATTCCACATCAATATAGAATAAATTTAAAGAAGGACAAGAGAAATCCTTTGAATTCTGAAGTTCTTGGCATTAAGTCACCTCTGATTTTATTGATCTGTCTGCCTGGAATGGCTGGAGAGCCTGCTTCAATATGAATGCAAAGTCAGAGTTGCTGCCTGCTAGCTGAACCCTCTTTATTTAAGGAACACTGACTTTTCTGGCAGTTACAAGTTCTCTGAGCCGTCTGCCATCCCTTCCAGCTGAATTTCATTTTGTTTGATTCTAGCTGGTCCTACATAAATATTTTATCATATAAAAATGCTCCTGATTCTTTCGCCTTCTAACTTGAAGGGGGGGGAGACCCTATATGAAAATGATGGGGATGCATGCAAACAAGCAGTGGTTACATCAAGCTGTGACTGAGAGCCATATAGGGCAAATCTTTTGAAATCAAGCAGCAAAGCAGAATCAGAAGAGGTCGGCTGAATAACCTACTAGCAGTTGCTAACAGCAGTATCATAGGATACAGAGCAATCTGACTGGCTGTGACCAGTGGTGGTCTCCTTGCGTGACTATATTTCTGCAGGAGAATCCAAATCAAGAGTTTTAAAACACATCTGAACCATGCATTTCTATGGGCATCTCCCCCACCACCTCCTTGCAGTTCAGATGCCCTGATTCCAATGTAGAGCTTTAGTTTATAATAAAATGATCACGGATTCATTCATTTGCAGCCCCTTCAAAGCCCTTCTTGGCTCTGCTGGAAGATTTTGCTTTCTGAAACAAGTATTCCAACAGAGTTCCAGCATATTACTGCTGCCTGCTGTATAATTAGCTACAAACCCACAGCACAAAACTACAGGGATTTACAGGTGCCCTGGATTCTGCTTTTCCTTCCCCCTGGAATCAGCTAGTCTTCTCTGACAAGAAGGGACCTTGGGCTACTCTAATGATATATTGAGAGTTTTAAACTCGACTCTCCAATCTTACAAGTCTAGAGTGCCAAAATAACACAGCAGAGACTAGCAGCTGAGCCATGGATACAGGAAAGCACTTTGGTAAGCACTTAAACCTGCTGAGAATCTTCTCTTCTCCCAGATGCTTGCATCTTATCAGCACACTACCCTGAATGAAGGAAGCAAGCACTATAGGATTTTATTTATTTATAGCTCTTTCTGGCCTGCTAACTACAACCTAGTGCTCCTGCTGCTAAAAAATGCTACAAGTTGGGTGACTTTTGAGTGTCTCGGTATGATCCAAAGAAGAGTCTAATCTCTGGGTGTCAAAGATTATCAGAATTCTCAAAAATGGCAGCAGCTGCTGATTAGTCACATGGAAGGCTTCTGATTCCTGAACTTCCTCACAACCTTCTTCATAAAAAGAAGGTCCAGAGGTCATCCACTGACAGCTAAACATTGAAGGTGCCAAGCAGCCTAAACTCAGTCATGACTAAAACATGTGCTATCAGGGGAGAACACAGCCG